AGTCTGCATCTACCAACATGAATCAGTTCGGTTGTTAGTAACTTTATGGACTTGAGCCATGTTTTGGTTTGGCCGCCCCTTAGCTTTCTTTCAACCACCTACTCCTATACCACAAAGCATAGCTCGACGTGGCAGTCCGTAGTTACTTACTTATTTACTTAAGCCTGTTACCTCCAATGGAGCATAGGCCGCCCACCAGTTTCCTCCAACCAACTCTATCCTAGGTTTCCCTCTCTAGTTCTGTCCAATGTTTGTTCATTCCTCTCACATCTTTCTCTATTTCTCGGCGTAATATGTTCCTTGACCTTCCTCTTTTCCTTTTGCCTTGAGGGTTCCATGTGAGGGCTTGTCTCGTGACGCAGTTAGGTGCTTTTCGTAGTGTGTGTCCTATCCACTTTTACCGCTTCTTCCTGATTTCCTCCTCCACTGGAATCTGGTTTGTTTTCTCCCACAGTAAGTTGTTGCTGATGGTGTCTGGCCAACGAATACGAAGTATTTTGCGTAGACCACTGTTAATAAACACTTGTATTTTCTGGATGATGGCTTTCGTAGTCTTCCAAGTTTCCGTCACATACAGTAGAACTGTATTGACATTTGTATTGAAAATCCTGATTTTGGTTTTGGTCGAAAGTTGTTTGGAGTTCCAGATATTTTTCAACTGTAGAAATGCAGCCTTTGCTTTGCCAATCCGCGCCCTCACATCTGCGTCGGATCCACCTTGGTTGTCCGTGGTTGTGCATACGTAACTCATGTCCCAACCACCTCAAATGATGAAGTCTCATTACTTTATCATCTATAGATTCGCCATCCTTATCTAGTACTCGTTTCCTAACAACAGCATTACTTACTCGATAGTCCCAAGATAAACGAGCAAAGTTCTGAAGACATCTATAATCGAATACCAATAACCTACGAATATCCACAACTCTTATCGGCCATGTTCCGCATCCACATAGTAAGACGGAGCGAAATACTGCGCAGCAACCTCAACCTTTGGTTAGCAGACGGATATCTCGTCTACGCAATAAATGACTCAACTTGGCAAAAGCCACTTGAACCCTCTGTATCCATGCTGAAATTTCGTCAGACACAGAAGTAAGAAGTGTAGTGTACTGAATGAACGCAGAAAATTGAACAACAGAAAACCAATGGTCAATAGTGTATTTACTTTCTAATCAGAAATCACATGCTTCTTCACAGAGTAGGATCAAATTTAAGGTATTGGATTAATGCGAATTTACAACAATTTTAGCATTGAAAACAATTAATCCTTTGCTATATAAATTTTGATAGGAACACTAACAATGAGAAGATGTATTTGATGTGTGATCTGTATTATATCTATAGATTTCAAACAATCTGGTCACACACACTTACATCTACACTTGTCAAGGCATTTTTGTATATGAAAATAAAGCAGAGAGAAGAAAATTCACATAGTATATGGGAAAGAATAGGAAATGGTCACATTACCCCCAGAGGACACGAAAACGGCTAGGGTAAATTCAAGGTTATAACAAGTTGACACTCTGTTAGAATATTCATCCAACATCCTAAGAGAATTATTGGTCAGTTCCTATTGGTTAATTCTTAATGGTCAATTTCATGGTTGTCCTGACTATCAATGTCACTTCAAATGTTGCTTCCTATTAGTCGCCTAAACTGTCAATGTCGCAGACGTCAATGTTGTTTACTATTCGACTTAACTGTATAAATCGCATTAGCTGTATCGTTTTACGACCCGGACGCAGACCCGGATCCTTAGTCCGGGAGCCTTATTCTCTTCTGGAATCGGACCTCGTACTTTCTGGATGTTTGTAGAATACAGATTCTACTTCATATCAAGTCTTCTTCTTCCACTTAATGGGGGTTAGGAAACTCGGATTTGAGTAGCATGTCGCGTCGCCGGATCCTCGATCCTCGTTCTCGTTTTCCGACTAAGGTAAACTCGTAATAATTTAAGCATATCAAATTGACATGTCTACGTGCATGCGTAACACCTTTTTAATCTTAAAGCCATTTTGATGGCCTAGAGTAATGTGACAATTTCGTATTCTTTCCCGTATACAATGTGAATTTTCTTCTCTCTCCTTTAGTATCAGATACAAAAATGCCTTGACAAGTATATATATATATATATATATATATATATATATATATATGTGACTAGATTGTTCGAAATGTATAGAGCACATACAGATCACATCAACTACATTACATCAACTACATCTTCTCATTATTCTTGTTCCAATCAAAATTTCAGCATTGAAAACAAGTATTTTTGGTACATTGAAAATTGAACAAGAATTCCAATCTTTTTTTTTAAATTTTGACTAAAATTCTATAAAATAGTTTCCTTGTGTTATGTCATGTTATGTTATGTTATTTAATCTCAGTCAGTCAGTCATTTACAACGTAGAACTTTGTACGTAAGTACATCAGTTCATGTCGCCATACCACATCAGCACTGAGACGCCATTGTCAATTCAAATCCCATAGTAGTGGAAGTAGTAAAAGTATTAGAAGTAATCAGAGAGGTTAGGAGGAGAAGATATTATTCAAGAAGTATGATTCAGTGAGAAAAGTGTAGAAAGACAAAACTAGAGGTGTTGAAGAATTCAGAAGATTAGGATTTGAGAGAACACAAGGCATAAATGTACCGGCGCCATGTTATTTAATTTAAATGAGACCACCCTTGAAAAATCGGTTATTTGAAAGTTTGCTGTATAAATAAATAGTTAATTAAATGTTGTGAGTGTAAATAATAACGTATATTTTTTTTTATTGAATAAAATTAAGAAATAAGCAAATAATCAGACAAATAAATGGGTTTTTTTTTTGTAATTAAAAATTTAATTTAATTTGTTAAATTTTATTGAAATCCACAATAATAATAATTGATCATTGTTAGATCATCACTAGCATTAGAAACAGTGGAAGCATTGAAGAACGACCGTTTCATTCTAGTAATGGTGTGGTGCGAGCTACTTATAAGTAGTAGTATATGACGTGAGTGTCAACGTAATGTATGGCAGCAGAGAAGATGAGGGGGGAAGATCAAGAAAGAAAGGAAGAGTTAGAAGAACACAATGGAATTTGTATGAAACGCATAAATAGTGACAATGGATTGATGTTGTTTGCAACAGGAACAGTCCAGTTCGATATGATGAACTGATATTTTGCAAATTAACGATTTACGATATATGGTTTTCCTATTTTACTGAGTAACTACTCTGTAATTTTCGGTAGATACAATTTGGTTGCCCCACCTGTGTTCTCGTTCACTACACTAGTATTGGGACTACTGCTCATCAGTAATGGCAATGTGCATCCATCAACTGACGAGTTTTAATGATGACAAAACAACAATCTCTCTATATATCATTTTTGTATTAGAGAATTATGGAGATTGTTGACTTTACACATTGAAATCATGAATGAATCGTTGTTAGACCAACCAATAGAAAAATGGATGCGAACTACCATTGGTGAGTCCCATGCCAGGACGAAACCGCTGTCTACTGCTTCCAGGTTCCCATCCCGCAAAACAAATTGACAATCAGTATATGAAGTGTTTAAACTTCATCAGTTGAGGTGGTTGGGGGTGTGCTGTTGCTTGTATGAGGGTGGTTATGAATTCCCGGCTGCCCACACCGTGGAAGGTTGTTTCTTGAGGAACCTGAAAAAGGAAGATAAATTGGTGGTGGTCTTAGAGACCTGGGTGCGTGACCGCAGAGCCCAAGGGACAACTGCTTGAGGCCGGTCACGCACGGCCTTTTTATTAAAGGTATTTTGAGGATTAGCTCCGTTCTTAAAAGCCCTTAGCGGGCACCCTTACCTACGGAGACGGAAATCCGTGAGGTAGGGTGAGGTGTGACATTTTTAGGCTCGACCTTTTCTAACCCTTCCTTCCTTGTGAGAAGGCAGCATCGCTACAGATGTTGGTTATCCGAGGGAAACATCTTACTGCTGTCACACCCCTCCATCACAGTCAGCAGTACGACTTCGCCCTCAGACTTTGGGTAGCTGCTTTTAGTCTCATCGTTCTCCAATCGACCTGCCTGGCATGGTAGAACCTTCAGGAACATAAGTTTCAGCCAATATAGCTCGGTTGGGTCATCACGATAGGCAAGACCGACCACCACGTCAAGGTAGCAGCTTCGGTTGGGCGAGGTGGTTGGGACGTGTGACGTATGCCTAACCACCGACTGCCTCGACGAGCTATGTTTTGCGATGTAGGAATAGGTTGAAAGAAAGTTAGAGATGGCCAGATCAAAACATAACACAAATCCATGAGGTCACTGGCAGCTGGAGTCAGTCATGTTTGTAGGTGTTGGAGTCCACAAGATTAGAGTAATCTACGGTTAGAGACCTTGAATGACATGGCTCAAAACAGTTTGCAATAGTGCAGATGTATTCATTCTTTGTGTTCTCTCAAATTGTAATCCTCTGGATTTCTCATGGCCCTTATCTTTCTCTTCTCACATTTATTTCACTCGGTTTCTACTTCTTGAATAATATCTTCGAACCATTAATCTTCTCCATTACCAGTAATACTTCTATTATCTGTACCTTTATGGGATTTGAACTGACAATTGCATCTCTGTGCTAATGTGGTATGGCAACTTGAACACTGATGTACGTACGTGTGAAGGTTTTACGTTGTTTTTGACTGACTGATTGATTTCAATATTAATTATAAAATGAAGATTGTTTTTAAATTAACAATAGATAATGTGAAGTGCACGAATGATTGTACTTTCACAACTTAAACAAACCATCACTGGGATGTTATCAATAAGTAGAACGAATTTCTCTCATTAGATTAATGTTGATTTAGAATGATATTATTTGACGGAGAGTCAGCCCAATTGGGTTGTCTATAGTTGAAAGATCAATTGTTCAGTTTAATATTTTTTTTTCCAGTTTTTAATCAATCATATAATCAGTCAGTCAGTCAGTCATCAACAACAACGTAGAGCTTCGTACGTATCTACATCAGTACAAGTTGCCATAGTACATTACCACAGAGACGCAATTGTCAATTCAAATCCCATAGTAGTAAAGGGAGTAGAAGTATGAACAGTAATCGGAGAGATTATGCTTCGAAGATATTATTCAAGAAGTATAATCCAGTAAAATAAATTTGAGAAAAGAAAAACGAAAGTCATGAGGAATTTAGATTAGAATTTGGGAGAACACAAATAGTGTCATCATCGGCACCACTGCAAACGATTTTCAGTCATGTCATTCATGATCTCTAACTATCGGTTACCATCATCTCGCGGACCCCAAACAGGTATCCTACATCTACCAACATGACTTGGTCCACTTGTCAGTCACTTCATGGATTTGTCTCATGTTTAGGTCTGACCGCCCTAAATTTTTTTCAAATCTACTCCTACAACATGAGACATCGCTCAGCGAGGCAGTCAGTCGGGTGGTTAGGCATCCGTAACACATTTCCCAACCATCTCATGATATGCCATCCTTACCTAGTACCCGTTACCTAACAACAGCATTGTTTACTCGGTTGTGATCCCATGATACACGAAAAAAGTTTCAAAGACATCTATAATGCAATATTAATAACCTACAGATATCCTTCTACTCTTACTGACCATGTTTCAACACCAATAATATTAAGATTTTCATTACAGCAACAAAAAACAGGGCAAAATAAAGTTTAAAAACTTACATTTGGTATGATCACTTTCTTTTTATCTTGATTACTATGTACTCCACTACCATTACAATTATTATTGCTATTAGTATTATTATTATTGGTGTTGTTATTAGTAGTATTATTAGTGATATTAGTAGTAGTGTTATTATTAGTACTATTTGTATTGTTATTACTACTACTACTACCATCTTGACCAAATATTCCACGTAGAACTTGCATAGCCCGTGTAACAATTGGTTCTTTTAATCCACGTCCTAATAGATAAGATGTTGATGTTGCACTAGTACTGTTGTTGTTGCTGTTGCTGTTATTATTATTATTAGCTAGAGACTGTTGATTTTTACTTCCAGGTGATATACGTCGTGTAGTTGTAGTAGTAGTAGTGGTAGTAGTAGTAGAAGTAGTAGTAGTAGAATTAGGTGAAGTTGTTATCTCATCTTCTAAATCACATGCAGCACGACCAGCAACTAATGCTATCAATATAGGTTTATCTGTAATTGACCAGAATAAAAATAATTCACCACGTGAATTCGTTGATTCATTCACATGTCCAAATAAATTATGTGAACGATCCCAAAAACTTTTTTCAAATATAAGTACAACCTAAAAAAGAGAACGAATGTAGGAAGGAAAAATGTCAATAAACAAACAAGATTACAAAGATAAACACACTAAATGAACATGAGTGTTAAATGCTTATTCATTGATAAATGTGTCAACAGGAGAACCAGTCAACTCGTAAGTTGTTCACCTTTATTGATTTTTGAAAATCTACTGAACAAATTTTATAGATCAGAGTTATACAATAACACCCTTAGATACAGGTTCAGTGGTTCAGAGGATAGGTGCGCAAAACCGAAGGTCCTGGGTTTGAATCCTACGAGGTGCAAGAGTCGTGGATGCGCACTGCCGCTAATGAGTCCCATACCAGGACAAAACGGCCGTCCGGTGCTTTCAGGTTTCTAATAGCGGTGGTCTAACAATAATTGATTGAGGATTTCAAGCGCTAATCTCCGTAACTCTAATTGAATAATTCATAGAATATCCTAAGAGAATTACTGGTCAATTTTATGGTCGTCCTAGATATCAATGTCACATGCTCCAATGTTGTTTATTATTGGTCGTCCTGACGATCAATGTCACTTCAAATGTTGCTTCCTATTGGTCGTCTTAACTGTCAATGTCCCAGACTTCGATGCTGTTTCTTATTCGATCAAAATGTATAAATACGCATTATTTGTAACGTTTTATGACCAGGATCAGGACCCGGTCCCGGATCCCTAGTCCGGGATCTTGATTCTCTTCTGGATTCGGACCTCGTACTTTCTGGATGTTTTTAGAATACAGGTTCTACTTTACATTCAAGTTTTCTTATTTTTACTCAATATGGGGGGCTGGGATAATCGGATTTGAGTAGTATGTCGTATCGCCGGATCCTCGCTCTCGTTTTTCCGACTAGGTAAACTCGTAATAGTTCAAGCATATGAAGTTGACGTGTTTACGTGTAGGCGTAACAAAGATTAAGAATAATACAGAATAATCAAGCTTTGTCTTAATGTCCACTATCACATAAAACACAATAAGATGAGTGAATTAAATGACAATTAAAAGAAACCAATGCAATGAATAATATAAATCGACAAAAAGTACAGTTGGCTCCATTTAATAATAATAATAATACTAGTAACCCCGCCCAGAGCGCTGCCTGGAGCTACTGCCGGTCTCCCAAGTCTAAACAAAGGAGGAGGGTTGGGCATGGGGTTATCGACCCCGACCGCAAAGAAACTAACTCGCTAACAAAACGCTAACCAAAAGAACTAACAATAAAATGGCAGTTAACAAGAAGTATAAGAAAAACACAGAGATCTAGTCAGTCATAAGAATATTACTTTGTTTTGGAAAACCTTTTTAGGACTCCATAACATCCCAATCATTGTTAGACCAACGTTAGAAACCCATAAGAACTGGACGATCGTTTCGTTCAAATACGGTACTCATCAGCAATGCGCGCCCACGATCTCTATTCACGGGAGTCGAACTCAGAACTTTCGGGCTAGTACACGAACGTTTGACCAGCGCCGAATGGTGTTCATGTTTAACTTTAATTAAATCAAGGTATTATCAAGCATCATCCATTGTCTTCAATAGATAACTGTCTACCGCCCAACAAGAGTGAACTTCGCTGGTCACGGCTCCCCACTAGAACTCGGAGAAACTGCCACATGAAGCGCTAGTCACTAGTAAGTACATTCATTCACAGTATATATACACATAGTTTAATTGCAAGTTAACTTACACACACCCTTGTAATTAAGAAATAAGTAAGTAATACAAATTAGGCCAGAGAAAATATATCACTATATCACTTTGTAGGATTATTATTACTATTATTATTATTACCTTATTTAATACACCAAATCCTAAACGTTGTATAGCTGAAATTTTCCAATTAGGTAAATTTGGTTCAAAACGTGGTACAATTAATTTTGTCAAATTATTATTACTATTATTATTATTATTATGCATAGATGTATCATCATTTGTCATCATTATAGATTGTAATTGATTTTGGCTTGTTTCACTACAATTTTGTTGAATACTTTCTTTTAATATACCTAATGGTAATGTACAAATTAATGCATCCGCTGCATATTCAATTAAATCATCTTGACTTAAAGCTGAATTGAGTACATCGACTTTTACACCTATTGGAAAAAAAATACAGAAAGAAACAGATATTTTGTTGTTATATACGATACACAACACAACACACACACACATACAAACACAACAAAAGTGTCATTTATGTTAATATTCATTAGAGGAGTGTGACTGAAGATCAGTTGAACTGATCTCTAAATGAGTAGAAAGCTAGGGGCGGCCAAACCAAAACATAGTAGAAATCCATGAAGTCATTGACAAGTGGACTGAGTCTCTCATGTTGGTAGATGTAGACTACCTGGTTGTGGGGTCCGCGAGACGAAAGTCACCAATGGTTAGAGACTTTGAATGACATGGCTCAAAATCGTTTGCCATGGCGCAAGTGCAACCATTCGTTGTACTCTATCAAATCCTAATCTTTTGGATTCGTCAGCACCTCTACCTTTGTCTTTCTAACCTTATCTCACTGAATTATACTTCTTTAATAATATCTTAAAACCTTAGTCTTCTTCATTACCATTAATACCTCTACTACCTTTATCACACTATGGGATTTGATTTGGCATTTGCGTCTCTCTATGCTAATGTGATATGGCAACATGAACTTATGTACATACGTACGAAGTTCTACGTTGCAACTGACTGACTCATCATAGGAGTGGTGAAGATTATTGAGTTTTATTGAAATCACGAAGTGATCAATGTTAGACCGCCATTAGAAATCTGGAAGCAGTAGATGGCCATTTTGTCCATAGTATGGGATACTACAGTAATGCGCACTGACGACCCCCAATTCATGGGAAGCGAACCTAGGAACTTAGGTCGGTCATGTGCGCGAACCAGTGAGCTAGTCAGCATCCAACAATTTTATTGTTCAACTCTGATCAATCCACGGTCTTGCGTAACCTAATCATCAACAGGGTTGAACTCCACTGGTCACGAATTCTCACTAGAACTCAAAGAAACTTCCATACAAAGTTAGTTACAAGTGAGCACTTGGCAATTTTCATTATAGGGTTAAGTTTCTCTGAAATCATTCATGAGCTATCATCTAATAGTGAGAACAATGTTCGTTTTACACTTAAAACGGTATTATATTAGTAGACATAAGATTTTCAAAAAATTCAACGCAAACCTAACTCCGTCAGAAACTCCAATTGATATCATAGAAACACTGATCAGTTTAAACCTACTGTATGACAATGTAACTCAATAACAACAAATTCATGTACTCAGTTTCGAAACACGATTTGTATGAAAGCTAGTGATATTATTCAGCTAACTGAACCAATGTATGTGAAACAGGGCTCGAGCTTCTCACCTACTGGTTAGAAGTTGACTAGTCTAACTGATATATATATATATATATATATATATATATATATATATATATATATATACCAACCGTAGCTGTTACCTTGACGTGGTGGTCGAACTTACCTATCGTGATGACCCAAACGAGCTATATTAGCTGGAATATATGTTCCTGTATGTTATACCATGCTAGGCAGGTCCACTGGAGAATAGTAAGACTAAAAGCAGCAACTCATTGTCTGAGGACGAAGTCGTAAATCTGACTATAGAGAGGTGTGATAGCGGTAAGGGTTACCCTCGGACAACCAGCATCTTCTGTCTTATCACAAGGAAGGATTTAAAAAAGGTCGACCCTAAAAATGTCACACCTCACCTTATCCCACAGATTTCCGTCTCCGGTGTAAAGCCCCTTGAAGAGACGAGCTAACACTTTTAAAAAACTTCCCATAAAAAAGCCGTGCATGACGGGCCTCAAGCAGCTGTCCCTTGGACTCTGCGATCACGCTCCCAGGTCTGTAAGACGAACTCTAATTCAATTTCCTTTTCAGGTTCCTCAAGAAACACTCTTCCACGGTGTCGGTAGCCGGAAAGTGACATCCGCCCTTATACCCGTGAGAGAACACGAGTCCAAATTAGTAGCAACCAAATCCCTCCTACATCTCTTAATATATATATATATATATATATATATATATATATATATATATATGCTCTGATGCATATATCATGTACAGAAATGATTGATGTAATGTATATAAGATCTGAACATTTACTTAGGCATGATTTTTTGCAATATTCGATATCAAATTATAGTCATGAGGATCATGAAAACAATGATTAAATTGAAAAAAAGGAGTAAAAGTCAAGGTAAACGTTAATAATTCGCAAGATAATACGAATTCATCGGGCAGACATCATCGGCAACACCCTACTTTGTAAGAAAGTACAAATTAGATTTCACATGAACAAGAGATTATGAGAAAGCGCTGAAAGTGTGTATAGGATACATATTGCGAAAATCATTGGACTGCATCACAAGCCAGACAGACAGACAGACAGATACAACGCAGAACTTCGTACATAAGTACATCGGCATATTCTAAGTCAATAAGCGAGCCTCCTGATAGGATGTTTACTCCTGAAAATTCAAACGAGGATAAGGTTATATCTAGGAGCATGTCTGTGATAAAATTAAACAAGAATGGAGAGAGTGGACATCCCTGACGGACACCACTTGAACTGAAGAATCCCGGTGACCATTCGCCATAAGCTCTCACTCGACCAATGGTGTTCGAGTAGAGAACTTGTATAAGGGTAATGTACTTCTTTGGTACACCTTTCAATGACAGACACTGCCACAGAACCTCACGATCCACAGAGTCAAATGCCGCTTTTAGGTCCAGGAAAACAACTATTGTCGGACGTCTAAATGTGTGTCTCTGTTTCAGGACCATCACAAGGCAAGCCCTAACTTGAAATCCACAAGGTCGAAAGAGACGAGAAGAAGACCACAAATCACATTGCACCATGAATAGGGAACAGTTAATAAAAGAATAAAGAGCAAATGGAAAGTAGAGTAAGAGTCAAGGACCGAGTTAGTTGAAGAATCTTAGTTGACACAATGTCTATGTACTCCACAAAAGGTAACAAGCTTAAATAGGTATGTAAATAGTTCATAATTGAATAAAAATTTATTTTACAACTGTGAATACAAAATTTACCTGTATTTGAATAACAAATACGTTTCACGGTACTTTTCAATTCAATATGACCAGGACCAAGTTTATAATTGGATAAAGTCAACGCTGATGATGATGATGATGAGGATGATGATGATGATGAAGGTGCTGTTGTCGTAGCAGTAGTAGCAGTACTAGTCGGTGTTGTTGTCACCGTTGTTGATGCTGCTCCCAATGTGAAATGATTATGATCACGTGATTTTAATCCTGATATTAATGATTGACCAGTTGTAATAAAATGTGCCAAATTATCAGTTACTAGTCCATAACCATCTTGTATTACACAATGATCACCGCTTAATTCAAATAAATCATCTTGATCCCAATGACGTAATGATAAATTGTGTAATTCAGTGGAATTAGCAAATTCTAAATTAGCTAAATGCCAATCAAGTATAGAACGTTCTTCTTTGGTTAAATATACATCTCTATTTAGGGAAATGAATAAAGAAACAGCAACAAGATCCAGGCTGTTTTAATGTGAGAAATTCATTGGCAATAATAATTAGAAGAATAAACAAATTTTTTAAGGCAAAATGTTTGAACTTGTTTGTATTCATAATAGTAATAATAATAATCATGTAACAGGTCAATTAAATATGTAAGCTGTTCTACATAGTTTTTCCTTTCTTCTAGAACTCAATGTTTGTCAGCATTTCAGAGTAAGTCTGTATTAAATTTTGTAGTGCTGTTTGTCCAACGGAATAATATTTGTTTGGATTCAGTTTGGGCTCGGCCTATGACAGGTGGTGTGGATCTGAAACTATTTCAGCTCCTCTGTTTATGATTATGTCACCAATGGATCTTCTAAACCTCTTATCGATACACATGTAGTTGATCTGATTGTCCCTAGTATGCATGGTTCAATGATATCCGTATGGCTTTATGTAAATGGTTAAAGGGGAAAATGCTGCCATCTAAAACAATACTTTTGAAAGCACTTGAACCTACTAGTATGTGACCTTACTCGTTGCTCTCTCCTAATCCATGTCGCCAATGATGCGTTGATACCCAGTGTTGTTCCTTCCGATTCCATAATTTAGCTCTCCGATCAAAATGGCCAGATTTTTTCGTGGGTAGACTGAATTCTCTTATGACACTGATTTTGATCATCTTCGCTAAGATCATTTGGTTGATGCGTAGCAAATACCTCAATTCTTTGTTTAGAAGGATACTATGATGATCTGTTAGACGTGAGTCTCCTATGCTATGTTGTGTTTCTTCGGATAGAATTAGTTCGACTCCTTATATGTAAGGGGCATTTTCATATACCGACTAGAACATAACAGCACTTCTCTCGAAGTTAAATTTACGTCTAACCTATGTCCGAAAGATTTTACTTATTTCAAGCACCATCAGGTTGTATTTCTTCCCTGTAGTCAATTGAATAAACATCCAGCCCTCCGACAACGTTGCTCTGATTATTATGAGGGATGTTGGCCTCGTAACTTCCGAAAATTCTCGACTTTTGCCGTGAGGCATCAAAAATATTCTATATGAAGACCCTTCAACTCCTAGGGTAGATTTTAAGTAGTTTGGATGATTGTCTTAACAAGATTCTTTTTAAAGAAATAGGATTGTTAACCCTAATTTTAACCATTCTCCTTTACCCGAGCATTGGATTGATTATAATCCTAGAGAGCGCCAGGTGGAATACAGCAAATCTTCACATTGATGAAGTGAGCAAGAGATAATTTGAAGTTATTTGAAAAGAAACACAGATACACTTAATCTGACATTTTCCTATGACAACTACGGTTAATTAGTTATGGGAGGTGTTATGAAAACCGTTGAGTTTGTGGTATCAGATAATAGATTGATCGTAGTTAGACAACCATTGAAAACCAAGAATCGCTAAATGGGGCTCCTGAGCATTTCGCAGTCGAGCACAATAACGTTGACCATCAAACAAATACTACCATAGTCAAGAGATATACCGAAATGGCTGAAGATAGAAATCCAAAAACCGATGGATGCCAACTAAGTGGTTTGAATGTATTGTCTGCATAAAAGTTCTAATCCCTATGCCAGTTGGGGGATATTGGGTGTGCACTATTGAGAAGCTCCATACAAAATGGTTGTTCACTATCTTCACGAAATATATCACACTGTATACAAGATCAAATACGAAATATTCATGCATTGACAATGATTTCAAAGTCAGATGCAACGCAGAACTTCGTACATAAGTACATCAGTTGAGGGTTGCCATACCACACATCAGCACACAGAGATGCAACGGTCAGTTCCAATCCAAAGAGTGATAGCAATAGTAGAAGAAGTATTAGCAGTAATGGAAAAGATTAGGAAGCGAAGTTATGATTCGAGAAGTATAATCCAGCCTGTGTATAAAATAGCAGCCATTTAGAGGGAAAACCAATGGTTAGCTTTTTTGCAAATCTCTATGGAAACTGTATAAAGTTAGGCGGCAGTTCATTTTTTGTAACGCAGCATCACCAATAACTGTTATATCTTGTTTCTTTTAGTAAAACTTTTCTCATAAGGCGTCAATTAAACTAAGTAATTCAGTTTACTGGATAATATACCCCCGAATTATCATGCAACAAATTGATCTTGCCTCAAAGATCGACTTTCCCCGTGTAACTTATATGGTTGTTAAGAGTTTACTATTATTATTATTACTATCTACAGATATAAAAAACAATAGTCAGTTACATACAACGTAGGACGTCGTACGTAAGTACATTAGTTCAGGTTGACATACAACATTAGCACATCGATACAATTGTCGAATCAAAGCCCGTAGTAGTAGTAGAGGTATTATAAGTATTACTGGTAATGCAAAAGATTAGGGTTTGAACATATTATTCAAAACGTATAATTCAGTGAGATAAATTTAGAAAGAGAAAGATAGAGGTGATGAGGAATTCCGAAGATTATAATTTCAGAGAGGACAGAGAATGGATAAACCTGCGCCATTGCAAACGATTTTGAGATACAACATTTAAGGTCTCTTACTATCGATTAGTATCATCTCGCGGACTCCAGCCAGGTAGTCGACACTTACCAACCTCATCCGATTTTGTTAGTGACTTCATAGATTTTTGACATGTTTTGGTCTGGCAGTGTGTAGGCAGTAACTACCGAAGACAAATGGGTGAGGTCGAGCAAAATCCCTAGATTGATTAGAGTTAGACATTAACACCGTTGGGTGCCGGCCCAGTGGTCTAGATATTAGGTGTTTACATGCAAAACCGAAGGTCCTTGGTTCGGTTGCTGCGAGAGACAGGAGTCGTGGATGCGCATTGCTGAGGAGTCCTATACCAGGACGAAACGGCCGTCTAGTGCTTCTAGGTTTCTAACAGTGGTTTGACATTAATCGACTCATGATTTCAAATGTGTAGCTTAACAATCTTCCCAATCCAGTAATGCAATTATACATAAATAGCTTGTCCACTAAATACACACACACACTGAGCTGTTTGAGTTTTCATTGGAACTTGCGGGAAAACTCACAATAACTTTATCAAATAGGAAGATTCATTTTTATCAAGAAAATAGAGCTTCTCAAATCAGTCAAGAAGTTTAGTGAGAGCCGCAAAAACTGAAACAATGATACGAGGTCATAACAACCATTCAATTTCTGTGATCGCTTGTGTTTAACAATTGCCAATTCAGTGTTTTCATGGCTGATAACCAAGTGAATTACAAACAATTGTCTATGTATGTGTTAGGATATTCACCAAATATCCTAAGAGTACTATTTTTAGAAGTATAATCCTATTGGTCGATTTCTGTTGGTCAAAATTATGATCGTTTTAACTGTCAAAGTCAAATACTTCAATGTTGTCTCTTATTGGTCATCCGGATTGTCAATGTCATTTCAAATGTTACTTCCTATTGGTCATCCTAAACTGTCAATGTCACAGACTTTGATGCTCTTTTCTATTCGACTTACATGTATAAATACGCACTATCTGTAAGACTTCATGTTTTCCGTTTCTTCCTGCCTACCTCTTTTCTGTACTCGACCCAATAAAAAACTCCATCCCACGGTGTTGCGTTCTGATATATAGGAGATTTGGAAATAGCATTTTGGGTCCTGTTGGGATATTTGAATTTGGACGCCGCTAGGACTGAATAGCTATACGTAGCAGCATTATAACAGTATGCACTTTTATCAAAAGATGAAATGATATAGTAGTAGTTGAAGAACTTAAATTTCATGGTCTTTTACAGATGTTTTGAATAACTGGAAACGAAATCGGAAACAAGTTTGTCTCTACAGATAAAGAATGTCTGGCAGAGGATAAGTTTACACACTTTCAATGGCCTCTTCTTAAAATTCATTTCACACATTGATTGGATAAAGTATATTAGACAATTTAAACTGAATAAATATTTCATTTGATTAAAAAAAGGACAAAACATATATATATATATATATATATATATATATATATATATATGGACAGATGACCTGGCTCTTCTATCGCACACGCAAAAATAAATGCAAGATAAGACGACCAGTGTAGCAGCAGCCTCTGCAGCAGTAGGTCTCAACATACACAAATAAAAAAGCGAAATTCTTCAATGCAACACAACATGCACCAACCAAATCACTCTTGATGGAGATGCCTTGGAGGACATTAACACCTTTACATATCTGGGCAGCATGATTGACAGTAAAGGTGAATCTGATGCAGATGTGAACGGGCAGAATGGCAAAGCAAGGGCTGCATTTCTACAATTGAACAACATCTGGAACTCAAAACAAATGTCAACAAACACCAAATTCAGGATTTTCAATACAAATGTGAAGACAGTTCTACTGTATGGAGCGGAAACTTGGAGAACTACGAAAGCCATCATCCAGAAGATACAAGTGTTTATGAACAGTTGTCTACGCAAAATACTTCGGATTCGTTGGCCAGACACTATCAGCAACAACTTACTGTGAGAGAGAACAAACCAGATTCCAGTGGAGGAGGAGATCAAGAAGAAGCGGTGGAAGTGGATAGGACACACATTGCGAGAAGCACCAAACTACGTCACACAATAAATTCACGCGTTTATTGGATAGAGTATTAGACAATTTAAACTGAATAAATATTTCATTTGATTCAAAAAAAAGGACAGAACACAAGTAGGAGTTGTATACAACTAACTTACTTTGGTGGTTCTTGAAGTAATATATCTAATTGTTTATTAACTCGAGACAATGCAGTTTGTAATGGTTGAAATTTTTTCCATGCTTCATGTAAATGACTAAGTAATTGACGTACTTCAAATTGTGCGCTCACATTAAATACTGGTAGGGAAGGACGAGATTGAGATGGATCAGTAGTAGTAGTAGTAGTAGTAGACGATTTGATTGGATTACTACTATCAGTTGATCTAGTAGTAGTAGTAGTGATATGAAATAGTTATAAGAATTGGAAAAATATAATCATTATATAACACAATACATTTATCATCACTTACTAATTATTTAGTTCTATGAAATTGAATTATTACTATGAATCTGTTAAACGTTTTGTTTTTTGCAGAACAGTTGTCCCGACCGAAGCTGTTACCTTGACGTGGTGGTCAGGCTTGACTATCGTGATGACCCAACCGAGATATATTGATTGGAACATATGTTCCTGTAGGTTCTACCATGCCAGGCAGGTGGTCGATTGGAGAACGATGAGACTAAAAGCAGTGACTCAAGGTCTGAGGGCGAAGTCGTACTGCTGACTGTAGAGCGGTGTGACAGCAGAAATGTGTTTCCCTCGGACAACCAACATCTGCAGCGATACTGCCTTCTCACAAGGAAGGAAGGGATGAGAAAAGGTCAGGCCTTAAAAATGTCACACGGTAAGGCCTTTTAACGAAGAGTGGAGCAAACACGTCAACTTACTACAAAAATGCTGCGCGGAACCGACCTCAAGCAGTTATCCCTTGAGCTCTGCGATCACGCTCGCAGGTCTCTAAGACCAAGGCTAATCCAACTTCCTTTTCAGATTCCTCAAGAAACACCCTTTCAAGATAAGGACAACCAGGAAGTGATATTCGCATCTTACACCCGTAACAGAACACGCAGAACAGTTGTGCTTTATTGATAATTTAGAGGCCCTGATAAAATGTCATTTTGCAGTTATTTGGACTAAGTAGCTTTAGTGGATAACGCGAGATCGTTCGAAGCAAATGGTACCGGATTCCAGTCTGAGAGTAAACATCCACTCTTGCATGTAGCTATATTCATCTGGCAAGTGTCCGATGGGACAAAATATGCGTCCTTAATTCCACTGCTAGCCACATTCATGTTCCCCATTACCACTAATACTTCTACTACCTCTACTACTATGAGGTTTGAATTGATAATTGCGCCTCTCTGCTAATGTGGTATGTGGCAACTTGAACTGGTGTATGTACGTGCGTACGCAATTCTACGTTGTAACTGACTAACTAACTGTATAAATACGCATTATCTGTAACATTTTATGACCACGACCAAGACCAGGACCCGGGTCCCGGATCCCTAGTCCGAGATCCTGATTCTCTTCTGGATTCGGACCTCATACTTTCTGAATGCGTGTAGAATACATGTTCTACTTCATATCAAGTCTTCTTATTTTTACTCAATATGGGAGTTGGGATAATCGGATTTGAGTGGTATGTCGTGTCGCCGGATCATCGATCCTCGCTCTCGTTTTTCCGACTAGGTGAACTGGTAATAGTTGAAGTATATCAAGTTGACGTGTTTACGTGCAGGCGTAACAACTACCTCTACTACTTATGGGATTTGAATTGACAATTGCATCTCTCTCTTCTAATGTGGTATGTGGCAACTGGAACTGGTGTATGTACGTGCGTACGTATGCAGTTCTACGTAGTAGCCGAGTAACTCACTGACTAACTGACTGATACATATGAAATGGAAGAAACATGAAAACTTTTTCTGAATATACATCCTACGCCCCCTCCCCCACTCCCCCAAAGAAACAAAAAAAAACAGGTTGACAATAAAAAAAAAATTAACTTTGACGCAAAACACAATAATAATAATCATAATCATAATAATTGATTACTTTTGTGAACCATTCGATGAAACAGATTCCAACAATAATTGTTTCCCATCTAATTCTGTACTACTCGAGTATGGTGAACATGATGATGATGCAGAAGAATCATTACGTAGACGAGATTTATTATTAGTTGGTGTAGAATTTTGTACTTTCAACGGTTGTGTATGGTGATGCTGAGGCTGGTGCTGATGAATTGGTGATGATGATGATTGATGATTATTATTATTATTATTCAATGCAATAGAGGCTAAATGCCATTTTTCATAAGCTAATTCAATATTTTTACGTTCAACAACCATCTAGGATAACATGAATAATGAAGGTGGGGAGAAAAAAATATAAACAACAGACATATATACACAACATTACAAAATAATGAATAATAATAATAATAGATTTTATTTTAAAATAAAGATATGACTTCCAGCTGGAAAGTAAATAAATCAAAGCTAAAAAAAAAAGTACTAATTTTTGTTTGGAACTTAACATTCGAGAGAGTGTGTGTATTTTTTTAAAAAAAAAACTTACATCGGAGCCCAAATAGGTCGGTGAAAAAGTCAGTCAGTCAGCCAGTCAGTTACAACATAGAACTGCTCGATTGGCTTTTGCCAACCTGCGTCACTTATGGCGTACGCGAGATATCTGTTTGCTGACTAAAGGACGAGTGTACTGCGGAGTAGTTCGCTCCGTCTTACTTTGTGGCTGTGAAAAATGGCCAGTGAGAGTAGAAGATATTCGTAGGTTACTGGTTTTCGATCATAGGTGTCTTCGAAGCATTGATCGTATACCGTGGGACAACCGAGTGAGCAATGCTGTCGTTAGGAAACGAGTACTAGGTAAGGATGGCAGATCAATCGATGAAGTGGTGAAACTTCATCAGTTGAGGTGGTTGGGACATGTGTTGCATATGCCTAACCACCGACTGCCTCGAAGAGCTATGTTTTGTAGTGTAGGAGTAGGTTGGAAGAAAGTTAGGGACGGCCAAACCAAAACATGGCAGAAATCCATGAAGTCATTGACGAGTGGACTTAGTCATGTCGGTAGGTGTCGACTACCTAGTTGGGGTCCGCGAGATGATAATAATCGATGGTTAGAGACCTTGAATGACATGGCTCAAAATCGTTTGCAATGGCGCAGGTGCATTTATTCTTTGTGTTCTCTCTGAAACCCTAATCTTCTGGATTCTCCAACCCGTCTAGTTTTGACTTTCTAAACTTTTCTCACTGAATCATGCTTCTTGAATAATATCTTCTAATCCTAACCTCTCGGATTACTTCTAATACCTATACTACCTCTTCTACTATTGGATTTGAATTGACAATTACATCTCTGTACGGCAACATGAACTGATGTACTTACGTACGAAGTTCTACGTTGCATCTGACTGACTGACTGACTGCATACCCAGGTACGTACATCAATCAGTTCAAGTTGCCATATACCAAACTTAGCACAGAGATGCAATTGTCAATTCACATCCCATACTAGTCGAGGCAGTAGAAATATGAGCAGTAATTAAAAAGATTAATGATCAAATATACCGATCGAGATGTATACCCCAAAGGAATCAGTTGAAAAAAAGGAGAAAAACTAGGATTTGAGAGAACACAGAGAATGAATGAACCTGAGTCATCGCAAACAGTTTAGAGCTATATCATTCAAGATCTCAATTACTATCGGCTCGAGAGCCCCGACCAGGTAGTCTATCAATATCACTCAGTCCAGCTGTCAGTGACTTCATGAATTTGTGGCATGTTTTGGTTTGGCAGCCCCCCCCCCCGGGTTTCTTCCAACTTACTCTGACACAGAATTAGACAGAATTCAGTGATTTTGATCTTTTTTACATTCAACACCTTATTTCTGTCACATTTAACACATTTTTCTTGTAGTGTACTGTTTTGCTCAGTTTGATAAGTCAATTCAACAAATGATCTTATGTACATGATTTCATTGATGAGATATTCATCTTTTTTTGAAGTAAATGAAAAGCCAATGATTTCAACTTGATGTTTTAAACCACAATTTAATTGTATTAGCAACTTTTTTGGATCAATACATATGGTCGAAAAATACTAAAGTAAGCTTTTCATTGTGTAATTGAGATTTAAATTACAAAATCTACGAATTCATGATGACTAATTGTTACACCTGCACGTAAACACATCATTTTGATATACTTGAACTATTACGAGTTTACGTTAGTCGGAAAACGAGAGCGAGGATCGAGGGTCCGGCGACACGACATGCTACTCAAATCCGATTATTCCAACCCCCATATTGAGTAAAAGAAGACAAGACTTGATATGAAGTAGAATCTGTATTCTACAAGCATCCAGATAGTACGAGGTCCGAATCCAGAAGAGAATCAGGATCCCGAACTAGGGATCCGGGACCGCGTCCTGGTCATAAAACGTTACACATAATGGGTATTTATACATTTTGGTCGAATAGGAACAGTATCGAAGTCTGTAACATTGACAGTTAAGACGACCAATAGGAAGCGACATTAACAGTCAGGACGACCAATAAGAGACAATATTGAAGTACGTGACATTGATATCTAGGACGACCATAAAACTGACCAGTAGGAATTAACCAATAAGAATTGACCAATAATTCTCGTAGGATATTGGATGATTATCCTAGCACTAATCAAAAACAAGTAAGTATCTACCTAACTATTTGAAATATAAGCCGTAGAGATTGAATATTAATTCTATGAATTTTACAAGCTTAATAATTATGCGATGAAATGGACGGCCGTTTCGTCCTAGTATTGGGGACTCATCAGCATATATATATATATATATATTCGCTTGAATATTTCAATTTTTTCTAGAAGAATTATCTACAAGATTTCATTTGTATCTGAATCGAGGAAAATGTATGTATATATTGACTAGAAAGCCATAGGAAAAATTATATTCACATTAGTGATTTAGTTAGTAATATGAAAATAAAATATTATGTATATACTTCTCTCACAGTTTTGTTTGTACAAAACGTCCTGAATCTATTTTTTCTCTACATTTTTTTTCTTGATCAACTACTCACCTGATCTAATAGAGAATTTTTACGATCTAATAATTGTGAGATTAATTTCCGATGGGTAATTTTCAATTGTATTTTATGCTTTTCTTGATATCTATAAAAATGAGATTGAGAGAAAACCAGAATGAGGATACGATTTAGTAGAGATTGTTTGAAAAAAAAAAGAGAGGACAAAATTATCTGCAAATAAAGAACACTTAAGTGAAGAATTGGTGTTTTTAATAACTTCGACATACTAGGCTTCACATAATTATTACAAAACTAGTTGCATAAGCCATAACTCAGAAGGCTTTTTCTTTATGCGTTTGTGAATTAGAACCAGCATGGTTGGGAAGAAAAGAGGCGCAAAGTCTGTGGATAGCTTCAGCTTTTCCCGCTTCTCCAATTCTAATCTTCTAAATTCTTCATCACCTTTACCTTTCTCTTTCTACAGTCATCTCACTGAATTATACTTCTTGAAGAATATCTTCGAACCCTAATCTTCTCCACTACCAATAATACTTCTGTTACCGCTACCAATATGGGATTTGAATCGACAATTGTGTCTCTGTGTAAATGTAGTTTGGCTACTTGAACGTACATATAAAGTTCTAAGTTGTAGCTGACTGACTGACCTTTCCTAACTTGGTAGACAGTGATCATTACATTGAAATAGTTGAAACCTTTTCTATTTTGTATCAGATTTCAAACAATCTGACCAAAAAGGGATTGGATTACTCTGTCTCAACATAACAGAAGCTATCTGCATCAATTCCAAAAAAATGAAACTAACTTACAAATCCAAAAGAGGTAAATATTCACAACTTTGGGTCACGACTGAATGATCAGATACTTAAACTTTTGACGCGATAAACATTTTATCCCAATTCCTCTTGGGTTTATACATTTTTTTAAATTTAACCATTCAGATTGCACATAAATTTTTTATCATAATTATCTCGACCGCTGTTGGGGACGTTAGATCCCCAGAAACTCACGTGATAAAGGTCCTAATTTTGGATTTTGTGTTTCCGCTCATGGGTTGATCAGTTGGCCTTGAGATTACATTTCCCAATCGGAAAATCCTTGACTGTTTTTGGTTGATGTATTATTTTGTTACGTGATTTTTGTGGCTCTCCCAAGGACGTTTGTATCATGTATCAACAAACTCGATTTGTGTGCTTGTCAACCTCATATTTTCTGGGTGCTTGTAGATTACACTTTCTACATCTTGTCAAGACTTCTTACTCTACTTATTGGGGCCTTGGGGGGCTTGGGTTAAAGTAGCCTATTGTATCACTGGATCATTTGTCTTTGTTCTCATTTACCGACTGAGGTGAACTTGTAATATTTTCAAGCATAACAACCACACTGCTCATAGTACACATTATATTCACACATTATCATTATTAGTAGTACTATTTTCTATAACAACAAGGCGAAAATCTCCTACTCTGCATGTTATTTAAACTAATTATTGTATTACTGTTACACTTTGAGGTGGTTGGGACATGTGTTACGTATGCCTAACCACCGACTGCCTCGACGAGCTATATTTTGCGGCGTAGAAATAAGTTGGACGAAAGCTAGGGGCGACCAGACCAAACCATCGTACAAATCCATGAAGTCACTGACAACTGTACTACGTACGTTAGTAGGTGTCGACTACCTGGTTTGGGTCCGCGAGATGATGGTAATTGATGGTTAGAGACCCTGAGTGACATGGCTGAAAACCGTTTGCAATGGCGCTGGTGCATTCATTCTTTGTGTTTTCTCAAATCCTAATCTTCTTGATTCGTCAACACCTCTAGTTAATAACTTCTAATCCTAACCTCTCCGATTACTTCTAATACTTTTACTACCTCTACTACTACTGGATTTGAATTGACAATTACATCTCTGTGCTAATGCGGTATGGCAACATGAACTGATGTACGTACGGACGAAGTTCTACGTTGCGATTGATTGATTGACTGTTACACTGATTATAACTTAACACCTTTTAACGAATCATTCTGTGTGTTAGTAAACTTTTTTTTAATTTATAAATAACACAAGCATAAAGTGTATTTTATTACCGTAAAAGTTGACATTTTTTAACTGTTTTTAATACACTCAACACTATCTAATTCATTAATTCACGCCTTATAATCATGGACTACATAAGCCGGATGATAAAGTAATTTGAAAACATTGGTTCACTTAAATAAGCCTTGTATTTTGAATATTCACTAGTGTTCCGCTCGTTACTTGATATGTTTGAAACTATTACGAGTTCAACTTAGTCGGTAAACGAGAACAAGACAATGAACCAGTGACACAGTAGACTATTCTAATCCGTTATCCCCGACCCGGCTAACTATATCAAGAAGTTTTGATATAGCGTAGAAAGTGTATTCTACAAACACCCAGCAAGCACAATGCAATCAAGCACACAAATCGCGTTTATTTATACATCATAGAAACGTTCTTGGGACAGTCTCAAAAATAGCACACTGAAATAACACATCAACCAATCACAGCCAAAGATTTTCCTGGTGAGAAATGTGATCTCAAAGTCAGCTGATCAGTCCATGAATAAAATCCAAAATTAAGACATTTATCAAGCGAGTTCTAGGGGATCTAACGTCCCCAACAACTGAGGATTGTGAAACAAGTGATTATTAAGACAACAACTGGAGGTTCGAAATATATATGGAGGGAAAATTGGTAGTAATAATAATAATAATAACAATACAAATTTATAGCATAAGCCTTATCAATATAACTGAAATCCAATTAGCTGGAAGACAGCCAATGAAAACCAAACAGAATTGCACAACTGATTCATTCCAAGTTGTAACTTCTTGACACAATGTGAATATGACATTAAAAACTATACAACCGGTATCAAACCTGATACAGTAAAGCTATCAATTACAATAATGTAAAATAGTTAGTATACATACTGTTATATTATCCAATTATTAGTCTATTGCATAACACACAAGAGTCGTAGTGCTTCACAAACGACAATATGAAGCAATCAATTTTGAAAGTGAATCAATATTTTTGTGAGTAGTAGAAAATGCGCATATCACATGAGAGTAAATAATGTGTTCCCATTGATATTAAACTACAATGGAACAATTAGTTAGTTAGTTAGTTAGTTAGTATACAGTTGATTTTTAATGCTTCTTTAGTTAGATTTTTGCTTTAAAAAAAGGAGAGAATTATCTTTCAAATTAAGCAAACAATAAAAATCATGATAAGTGGGTTTTTTTTCAAAGAAAATAAAGCCAACAATATTATAAATAATTAATAGAAATCATGACAGAAAATTATCAAAGCTAAAATTAGGAGGGATAAAAGGCTATCATAATAAGTTCACTTATATACAGACTTAACAAAAATTGAACAGACTTGGATAAGGAAGCTTGGGACAGAGTAGGTTGGAGAACACTGGTCGGCGGCCTATGCTCCATTTAAGGAGACAGGCGTAAGTAAGTAAATATATACATAATTAATGTTTTAAATTGGTCACATATTGGGCACATATTAAACCAGGTAGTACATTTTTTTATGATTAACTAACCTAGGAACACCTAATAATCAAACTGTCCCTAAATACCCTGAAATAGAGCCAAGAGTGGGAAGAGTTCGCTCTTTCTCTCTCTCCCTCTCGAAATGATCTCACATGGACATACGTATATAGTCGCTGACAGAGAAGTCTTATTCACAAAGTTTTCGCAGCGGTGTTCTATACGAAATTGAGAGGACGGAAAGCAGGTGTTCGGTACTTAAACTGGATCCACTTGGTAGAGTCATAATGCCCTTATTCCAAATCGATCATGCAAGGAACAAATGGCGTAGGAACCGATTGTTGGTCGCGCCCCTTGTACCAATAATTGTGTTCAAACAAACGATATAGAAAAGTTAAATATTATCCTTAATGAATAATACAATAAAATATAATTGAGTTTGAAAGTATTGAAATGTATAGTGTGTGTATTCAGTTTGATACAAACATTCTGGGTACTAGGTTTTTCAGTTTCAATATTAGTATGAACAGTAGGCTGTGAATACACCGAGATGAAGTTTCAAATACTACTTAGTTAGTAGTCAAAATAAGATCAAATTAATTTGCTGTTACTTTATTAACTAAATATAATAATGTTGAAAAAAATACTCTCATGATCTTACTCCATTTAAACACATAAACATTGGTACAATAGGGCACATAAGTATATTTATGAGCCACATAAATTATTGAATTTGTGTATGGGCTGTAATACTATCCAGACGCTCAAACTGAACAAGATGATTTTCTTAGGGGGAGGGACCATTCCTTGAGTCTATGATCTACAAATCTAATCGACAAGACAGCGGAGCAACGTTAGACGATGCAGTCCCCTGCTAGCTCATGACCGGTAGTAGATTCATACACCATTTGTTACTTGAAGGACCGCAGTTTGGAATGAGGATTTTCCAACTCCACCAAGTGGATCTTTCGTTTCCATCAACTTGATTTGAGTGCCGAACACCTGCTTTCCATCCTCTCAATTTCATAAACACCCACGCCACAAAAAGTTAGTGAGTAAAACTTCCTTGTTAGGGATTAATATGAGCATTTACATATGAGTGCATTTCGAGAGAGCGAAAGAGCGAACTCTCCTCACCCTTGACTGTACACTTGTAATTATAAAACCAAATGTCCCATTCTATGTGGAGTTCTACATGTATACTTAAATAAATTTAAAATTAAATAGAAATAACTGTCTAGTGTAAATTCATAATGAAAATAATTTTCAAAAAATGTGTTCAATAGTGTTCATTGAGCAAAAATCAAGCTTTTATTAGTGTATTACTGTTCGTTTGGCTGCAGTCGCAATATATAGACATTTGTATGATACATCAAACTATCAAACTATGAGTTTTATTGAATACAGAGAGAAAATAATCTACTTGGTATCATGAAAAAAAAGTACAAGTCAATAAAACGAAAAAATTTTGTGAATTGTCGACTAGCTCTAAAACAGGCTAGATATTTAAACAGACTGATACATATTACACACACAAAAAGAAACGTTTCAAATGATTTCCAACCTACAATGAATAGCAATAATGCAGGGAAAAAAAACCAATCATGTCAACTTTGTCAAAGGAACTCTACATGAAAACATGTGTTAGCGAGACATAGATTGGATTAAAGCATGATTTGCGTTAGCTGCGCGCTGATTGGCTAATTCCTATCCAATCAGCGCCTGGTCGATACTTAGAGAGAGCATTCCAGAAACTTCTCATGTAAAAACTATAAAGATACTAACATTGTTCCTATTTCACCTTCGCTTCAGCTTCTTACTTCCATTTAGTCTTATTCTTTGGAATATAATCTTTTCCCTATTCAACTGTGTTCTGATTTGGGGGACTTGTTGAGTGTATTATTGTCAGAGAATACTAAGCGCAATAGCAATAGCTAGGTTGTACTAAGACAGAATTATAACAACATGATAAATTCTAGCAGTTCAACATCCATTTATCTCAGAAAATGTGTATGATCATATATGGGCAAGTAAATGCTTGTCAAATCACTTCATTTATATCTAAATCAAGGATGGGAAAAACGAAGGTAAAATCAGCCGAAAATCTCTCATCAAAAAAGATGAAACAACAATATACTTACTTAATTAACAATTCCACAACTTGACCTAATGATAATGGTAGTTCAATACCTGAATCCAGCACTAATGAATCTAATCCTTTTGTATGACATACATAAGCAGCTGTTCCAAGAAGACGATTAAATTCTTCTTCAATTTGTTCATCAAGATCACGATTAATTAAATGACCTTGTGGATCGTATAATGAACAATCAGTATTAATCGGAATCAAATTCAATGATAATTGACGTACCAGTATTGTGACAGGATTTGCAGCTAAAAAGAAAACACCCCAAAACATACTGGCTAGTAGTATAGATAATATGAGATAAATAAAAAATTAATTAAATCCCTTCATGACAATTGGTTGGAAGGTGTTTTGTAATGAAAAGGATTTGTGAAGATTGCAGCTAGACCACTACTATTAGAAACTTGAAAACATTAGACAGCTGTTTCGTCCTAGCAAACGACTCACCCGGCAGTACGTATCCACAAACCCCCTCACGTGGGAATTGAACAAAGAACATCCGGTCCTGTGCATCATCGCTTAATCTCTAGACCAATCGGTCGATATCCAACGTTGTTCATATTTAACTTTAATTAATCTGTGATGTTGCACAACCTCCATTTATATTGTTTTTAAGGGATAACTGTCTCCCAGCCTACAAAGATTGGACTACACCAGTCACAAATCATTAACACTCCAGGAATTAACCTTAAAGCTAGTCACATGATTGTTAGTAATCAAAGGGAGACTTAGCGCTAAGATCAGTTTGTGATTTTACCAACATAAGAAATACTTTCTTGTTGATCCTTAATAACAATGAACTTGTTAAATATGCTTATTAAAAAAGAATCATATGATGTTATTACTTTTATAATTCACTAAATGTTAGGATATATTCATCGAATATCCTAAAGAAATTATTTTGTGAGTCTGATTCTATTGATCAATTTCTATTGGTCAATATTTAAGGTCATCCTAAACCATGAAGTTCACATACTTTAAATGTTCTCTCCTATTGGTTAGTTAGTATTCACGGTCGATCTAACTGTATAAATATGCATTGTTTGTAAAGTTTTATGCTCCTCTTCTTCTTCTTCTTCTGTACAAAACCTCATATTTTCTGGGTGCTTGTAGAATACACTTTCTACACCATATCAAGGTTTCTTCTTCTACTTAGTAGGGGCTTAGGATGCTCGGATCACAGTAGCCTTGTGGTGAATGAGAACACAGGTGGGGCAACCGAATTGTATTTAACGAGAATTACAGAGTTACTCAGTAAAATCGGAAAACCATATTGTAAATCGTTCATTTGCAAAATAACAGTTCATCCTATCGAACTGGACTGTTCCTGTTGCAAAACATCAATCCATTGTCACTAGTTATGCGTTTCATACAAATTCCATTGTTTTCTAACTCTTCCTTTCTTGATCTTCCCCCATCTTCGGCTGCCAGACATTATGTTGACGCTCACGTCATATACTACTTATAAGTAGCTCGCACCACAGCCTATCGTGTCACTGGATCATTTGTCTTCGCTCTCGTTTACCGACTAAGGTGAACTCGTAATAACATTCAAATATATCAATTGACGTACATAACACTAAATTTGCATTTGTGCTTGATTCATATTGATAATAATAATAATAATAGTAGTATGAAAGTGAATGCTTAAAACTGCCCAAAGACTGAAATAAAACTTTTACAATTGTAACTAATAAAAACAAATCAATTGGAATATTAGTTCAAAAAGAAGGGTTTCCAAACTAAACCGACGTGTTAGAAATTTGGTTTTATTTTCAATGTTCAGCGAGTTCTTTTGTTTGGAAGATAACAATTTTTAATCGAAAACATATAACTAACGATTGACCAATCATTTATTTATCTAAGAATCTGGTTTGAAAATACAATTGGTCAGCTGATATTTTAACTTCTACACTTTAATGATGTTCGGTTCCTAACTAAGCTTATTGACAACACATATCATATAACTTGACCAACGGATATTGATAAGAAATTTGGGTATTGAAGTGTGTATGTAATAGGCTAATTTGTGAAATCTGTTTTCTGTTTTACCGAGTTATTTTTTTAAGGAGGTTGTACAAAACCATTACCCAGTCAGTTAGTCAGTCAGTTACAACGTAGAACTTCGTACGTAAGTACATCAGTTCAAGCTGCCATAACACATTAGCACAGAGACGATATTATCAGTTCATATCCCATTGTAGTAGAAGTATTACCAGTAATCTGAAAGATTAGGGTTTGAAGATAATAATATTCAAGGAGTATAATCCAGTGAAATAAACTTAAAAAGAGAAAAAAAACCAGATGAAGAATCTAGAGGATGAGAAATTGAGAGAATATAAAGAATGGATGCATCTACACCATTGCAAACGGTTTTGAGCCGTCATTCAAGGTCTCTAGCCATCGATTACTATCATCTCACGGGCCCCAGCCAGGCAGTCGACACCTACCAACATGGTTCAGTTCACTTGTCAGTGACTTCACGGATTTGTGAGATATTTTGCTCTGGCTAACCCTTGCTTTATTCAAACTTACTCCTATACCACAAAACATGGCTCGACGAGGCAGTCGGTGGTTGGGCATTCGTAACACATATCCCAACAATCTCAAATGATGAAGTCTCACTACTTCATCTACTGATCTGCCATCTTTGCCCAGTACTCGTTTTCTAACAACAGCACTGTTTACTCGATAGTCCCAAGATAAACGAGCTATGTTTCTGAGACACCTATGTTCGAAAACCAGTATATATCAAAACTACAAAAAGATTAAGCACTTTTTGATAGCCTGGATTATCAGTACCCAAGTTAAACACGAAATTGATATTAATTGGTACGAATTTGCTTATCTAGTTTAGCGTAAATGATTATTGACAATTCTGGCAATTACACCCAAGTACACAATTCAACTACGTTAAAAACAAGTAGTCAGTGATTACAAGAAGCTCACAGAGATTTGATTTAATATTTTTTCGATCAGAATTATAGCGATCAATGTTTTTACACATTGAAATAATTAATCAATCATTGTTAGACCACCATTAGAAACCTGGAAGCATTAGCCGTCCGTTTCGTACTGGTATGAGACTCATTAACAGTGCGCATCCACGACTCCTGCACCTCACAGGATTCGAACCAAAGACTTTCGGTCTTGTGCGTGAACGTCTAACCTCTGGACCACTGGGCCGGAACCCAACTGTGTTAATGTCTAACTCTGGTCGATCTAGGGATTTTCGCGCGACCTAACCTATTTGTCTTTGGTAGTTACTGCCTACACCCGATGGGGTTGAACTCTATAGGGTCACGTCTCATTATGTTATTCCTTTTTTATTATTTGTATATCAGAATACTTTTCTGGGTTTTTTTTCTTTAAAATGTAACCAACCAACTTTTCTTCTCCGCCCCCCTTTAGTGCGCCTATGGATTGCAAATTAGAGAAGTATTACAAATGATTTTCCCTGTTTACTCTGAATACAGATACTGGTCCACCAATCTATTATTACAAAAGACAAGTTTTTTTTGAAGCAACTCTCAATAAATTCAGAGTGTTATAGTTTACAAACCCTGTTGGGTGTAGGCAGTAACTACTGAAGATAAATGGGTTAGGTTGCGCTAAAATCCCTAGATCGATCATAGTTAGACATTAACACAGTTGGGTTCCGGCCCAGTGGTCCAGAGGTTAGACGTTCACGCACAAGACCGAAGGTCTTGGGTTCGAATCCTGTGAGGTGCAGGAGTCATGGATGCACACTGCCACTGATGAGTCCCATACCAGTACGAAACCGCCGTCTGGTGCTTTCAGGTTTCTAATGGTGGTCTAACAATGATCGGTTGAAGATTTCGATTTTATATTTGTTAATATTTATTACAATGGTGTATTGGATACATCATGAAAACATTTATTCTCTCAGATATTTGAATGGATATCATTAGACAGAGCATGTGCAGACATTATCACTGTGGAATTATTATCAATGTACATATGAAGTGAATGATACACGAGGTGATAGTAGTAGTGTGGTGCGAGCTACTTATAAGTAGTATATGATGTGAGTGTCAACGTAATGTCTGGCAGCAGAAGATGAGGGAAGATCAAGAGAAAGGAAGAGTTAGAACACAATGGAATTTGTATGAAACGCATAACTAGTGACAATGGATTGATGTTTTGCAACAGGAACAGTCCAGTTCGAGATGATGGACTGATATTTTGCAAATTAACGATTTACGATATGGTTTTCCGGTTTTACTGAGTAACTCTGTAGTTTTCACTAAATACAATTCGGTTGCCCCACCTGTGTTCTCCTTCATTACAGTAGTAGCAGTAAACACCAATTCTGACTACACAACAATACTACATTTATAAATTGAGAGCAATTAAATATTGAAATTAAAGTAAAATTTATCATATATATAAAATTATCATTAAATTATTATTATTCATAAATAAATACTCACATAAACCTGTGACAACCATAGCTCCCAATTCAGAATGATATCCACCTTTTCTATAAGTCCATATTCGACCACCAACACGATCCTGAAAAATAAAAATGATATTTAATAAACAAATACATTTCTAAAAATATGTTACCTTGTAAGAACTAATTCAGGGTAAGATAAAAAACTAAATCCTCGAAAACTGTATACTGTTACGGGCATGAAGGCGGATGTCAGTTCCTGGCTGCCTACACTGTGGAAGGGTGCTTCTTGAGGAACCTGAAAAGGAAATTGAATTAGCCTTGGTCTTAGAGACCTGGAAGCGTGACAGCAGAGCCCAAGAGACAACTGCTTCAGGTCAGTCAAGCACAGCATTTTGTAGGAAATTATTAAAGTGTTAGCTCCACTCTTGTTTAAAAGGTCTTAGAGCCGGAGATGGAAATCTGTGAGGTAAGGTGGGGTGTGAAATTCTTAGGGTAGACATTTTCTAACCCCTTCCTTCCTTGTGAGAAGATTGCATCGCTACAGATGCTGGTTGTCCGAAGGAAACGCATTACTATTGTCACACCCCTCTACAGTCAGCAGTGCAACTTCGCCCTCAGACCTTGAGTAGCTGCTTTTAGTCTCATCGTTCTCTAATCGATTTGCTTGGCATGGTAGAACCTACGGGAACATATATTCCAGTTAATATAGCTCGTTTAGGTCATCACGATAGGCAAGCCCAACCAGCATGTCAAGGTAGCAGCTACGGTCGGACCTCGAAAACTGTAATGACTACTGACGTAATTACAAGTTTGATAAAAAGAACTATTAAGTATATTCCATTTACGTTAATTATTTTCAACGTGTACCAAACGGTTGAATAAGAAGAACTGAGTACATAAACAGAGATTTTTTCTTGAGATGATTAATAATATTAACATGAATGAAAATGTTTTGCCGAGAGTTTGCTTTAAACTAAGGGTTGTATTTGTCATAGATATTCTGTTAGGGTACCATTGAGAACTACAGAGAAGCATATAATAACTTGTTCCATTGAAATTGGAAGTCTGGAAGCACTAGAAAGCCGTTTCTTCCAAGTATATGATTCATTGGCAGTGCGCACCCACGATCCGCCGCAAGGGAGTATCGAACGCAGGACCTTCAGTCACACACTCAAACGCTCAACATATTGACTACTGAGCCGATATCTAACGGTGTTAATGCCTAACTTCATTCATTGCCTTCAGTGAGTAACTGCCTTACATTCAACACGGTTGAACTCCAATGATCACGGTCCCTCACTAGAATTCTGAAAATTACCTCAGTGGTCTGAAGGTTAAGCATTTTTGTGCAATACCAAGGGCTCTGGGTTCGACTCCCCGCTATGGGGTCGTGGATACATACTGCTAATGAATCCCATATTAGGGTGAACCAGTTTTCCAGCCTTCTAATAGTGGTCTGACATTGATCGATCCATGATTTCAATGAAACCCAACAATCTCCACAACACTACAAGACAGCAACTTATGTTAGCACTTATTTTTGCTAGACACTACGTTGACGACTAACTGACTGACTGTACAGCCACATCCTCACCAGAGAGTGAACCCTTACTAAAATCAAACAAAATTATCCAACAAAAAACTGACAAGGTTAAAGCATATTATAACTTTTAAAAAGAATCAACAACAAAAAAATAGTCGTTACATTAAAACATACACGAGATTCCAATATAGTGACTTTAGCACCAAAATAATTCAATTGTCTTGCTGCAATCAAACCAGAAATACCAGCACCAATAACAATAAAATGAGGAGTTGGCAGCGGTGTAGTAGATGCTGAACTAACAGGCAATGTAGTACTACTACTGGTAGAATGAGAACTACTAGCACGACGTGTTGCAGCTAAAGCTTTTTCAGCTGCAGCTCTTCTAGGTGTTAGATGAATATCTGATTTGTCCGGTATTTCCATAGAAGATCCTAGGACAGTGGTAGTAGTAGTAGTAGCGGTAGCTGGATCAGCGGTACGAAATGAATTCACATGTGTTAAGGGTGGAGATATAATTTTAAATATACCAAAGTTAATATATCCATATCTAAATTTAAAAAAAAAGCCAATGAGAAAGAAGACAATTAATTTGTCTGCATTGATATGTGTTAGATTTAAGGTTAAACAATTCAGAATTTGATTTAGCTAACCCTAACCTTAGTATTTACTAATGGTCACTTTTTCGTAGACATTTGTTACAGTGTCTAGTGAGAAACATTAACGTTTATCATTAGAATACATCAGTTAGCACGACCTTTAACTGAAGTTATAGAAACTTAATTTCGCAAAATGTTGGGGTAGATCAATCTCCCATTAAAATACTCCATGTTTTAAGTAACACGTCTATCTTATGTTTATTTCTGTTATTCAGAATATTCCTGGAGGTCGTTAAAGCCTGCTCGTAAATTAATATGCTTGAACTATATTACGAGTTCACCTTAGTCGGTAAACGAGAGAGAAGACAAACGATCCAGTGACATGATAAGCTACTCTAATCCGAGCGTCTTTATATGGTGTAGAAAGTGTATTCTACAAACACCCAGAAAATACGAGGTTTCAAGTACACAAATCGAGTTTATTTATACAGTTAGGACGACCATGAATACTAACAACAATAGGAAAGAACATTTGAAGTATGTGAACTTGATAGTTTTGTGCTAATTCTAATGACAATAACGGAATGGTGCGTGATATTTTTTCCCTGATCGAAGATACTTTATTAGAATAGTCAGTCAGTCAGATGCAACGTAGAACTTCGTACGTAAGTACATCAGTTCATGTTGCCATACCACATCAGCACAGAGATATAATTGTCAATTCAAATCCAATAGTAGTAGAGGTAGTAAGGGAATTGGAAGTAATCGGAGAGGTTAGGGTTAGAAGATACTATTCAAAAAGTATGATTCAGTGAGAAAAGTTTAGAGAGTCGAAACTAGAGGTGTTGAAGAATCCAGAAGATTAGGGTTTGAGAGAACACAAAGAATAAATGCACCGACGCCATTGCGAACGATTTTGAGCCTTATTAGAATAAGAATATTCTCATAATAAATAATGATAGGCGGAATCATTAAACGTAATGAAATCGCCACACTTTTCAGAAATTGCAATCTATAGAACAATTATTACCAAATGTTTAAAAATAAATCACTTAGTCATCAAGTACACGCACACTATCAAATGGTAAGGTGTATTTTTATCAAGATAACAGATCAAATTAAACAGAGATTCTCAAATCAGTCAAGGAGTTTAGTAAGTGCCACAAAAACCGAAACAATGATACGAGGTTATAACAACCATTTACTTTCTGTGATCTCTTGTGTTTAACAATTACCGATTCAGTGTTTTCATGACTGATGACCAATGGAATTACAATCCATTGTCTATGTATGCACATTTATCAAAAGACGAAATGATATAGTATAGCTGAAGAACTTAAATTTCATGGTCTTTTACAGATGTTTTGAATAACTGGAAACGAAATCGGAAACAAGTTTGTCTCTATGTATATATAGAGAATGTCTGGAAGAGGATAAATTTGTATTTTAAATGAACTTTTCTTAAATTCAGTTTATGCGTTTTATTGGATAGAATATGTATATGACAGTAAGTCTTATTTCACTATTTTAAACATTTCAAATAGTTGTGAGTCTTTACAAAGTGTTTAAGTTAACAAAACCTAAGAATGGGCGCTAAACTTTTGTTGTATATTATTTTATCAATTAAAATTTACAGCGATGAGTAGATGTAACTTAAAAATTACCTGATTTGTTTACTGATATTCGGTATATTGAAAAATCTGATCGAATAGGCTTTTAAATACTGTTTAATTTTGTAAGATTGTACTCTATTTCTAACGTAGGATTATTTCTTCAAGAAGTGCTTTCAAACAATTTTTAACAACTGTATAATACTCCTAAATCACTTATTTATTTAAGAAACATACTTCATCCTAAAACCTTGATTTTAGCTAACAACACATTTAGGCTATATAGATACCATTATAAATTTGGTGTTGGTGAGTTTGTGGTTCAAATAAATAACTTTGTAGAAATTATTTTCCATACACTGTGAAATCTATTGATACTTCTGATCTAAGTCAAGTTTAATATTTACTTATATTTTTCTTGGTAACCCTATGTACAATAAATTGTCACATGTGATACTAGTCAAGTGACATGTAAACCCTAGGTCCAAATGGATAACCAGTACAATAGATTAGATTCATGTTGCAAAGCCATATTTATTTACAATACTCTGTCTCTTGACTCTATTAATTCAAAGTCTTTCGAATAGTGATATCCATTCTGATAATCTCCACAAATTTATGTGACAAACCAATTACAATCTTTTAATCATCAGTAAAAGTAAGGAAGTTAATCATTTGTAGCAGAACAATCATGTGTTAATAATTAACATCAACGGTTCTCTTTTTTTGTTTACTGATTCGTCTACTTTTTGTTGGTCATTTAACTAAATTATAACCATGTACAATTCGATGGGAAAAAAAGAATCTAAATAACATGAAAAAGAAATAAAAAACAGGTAAAATTTACAAATTTTGAGTTTGCTGCAGATTGCCATTGTAAAAAACTATTTTGTATTTATAGTACAATATCTATCTACTCATCGTCTTAAAATCACACATTTTCATAGTTCAATAAAACGATAATTGGATTATCTTATTATTTTATTACAAAGTTTACTGCGCTAAAAAAAGAAATTCACATCATATTTTTATCAATAGTCTTACCTTACTTTACTTACGCCTATTACCTCCAATGGAGCATAGCCCGCTGACAAGTATTCTCCAACCAACTCTGTCCTGGGGCTTCCCTTTCCCGTTCTGTTCAATTTTTGTTCATTATTCTCATATCTTTCTCTATTTCTCAGCGTAATGTGTGTTTCATCGTTTTTCTCTTTCCCTTTTACATTGAGGGTTCCAAGTGAGGGCTTGTCTTGTGGTGTAGTTGCATGCTTTTTGCAGTTTGTCCTATCCACTTCTACCGTATCGGCCCCGTGACTTCTG